CAACAATCTAATATTGAGGGGTTTGTCCAGCGAAAAACGAATGTAGGGCTGCCAAGGTGGCAGTACACCTAATAGCGCATCTCCAAAGAAACATGGAATGGAGAAACACTGTAGATGCTATAATTTGTCGCTGTTTTTTCGCTGAAAGATGGACTTTAACCCATATTGTAGCCAGTCTATCCTCTTGCTGTCCAGCGAGAAACGAATGGGGGACTGCCAAGGTAGCAGTACACATAGCGATCTCCAAAATAAAAATGGAGTAAAAAAATACCGTAAATGCTATAATTTGTCGCTGCAATATTAGACTTTTACCAATATTATCGCTAGTCTATCCTGTAGTTCATCAGCGAAAAACTATTTAAGAACTGTGAACACAAATGCTATAATTTGTCGCTAGAATATTAGACTTTTACCAATATTGTCGCTAGTCTATCCTGTAGTTGATCAGCGAAAAACTATTTGAGAACTGTCAACACAAATGCTATAATTTGTCGCTGCAATATTAGACTTTTACCAATATTATCGCTAGTCTATCCTGTAGTTCATCAGCGAAAAACTATTTAAGAACTGTGAACACAAATGCTATAATTTGTCGCTAGAATATTAGACTTTTACCAATATTGTCGCTAGTCTATCCTGTAGTTGATCAGCGAAAAACTATTTGAGAACTGTCAACACAAATGCTATAATTTGTCGCTGCAATATTAGACTTTTACCAATATTATCGCTAGTCTATCCTGTAGTTCATCAGCGAAAAACTATTTAAGAACTGTGAACACAAATGCTATAATTTGTCGCTAGAATATTAGACTTTTACCAATATTGTCGCTAGTCTATCCTGTAGTTGATCAGCGAAAAACTATTTGAGAACTGTCAACACAAATGCTATAATTTGTCGCTGCAATATTAGACTTTTACCAATATTATCGCTAGTCTATCCTGTAGTTCATCAGCGAAAAACTATTTAAGAACTGTGAACACAAATGCTATAATTTGTCGCTAGAATATTAGACTTTTACCAATATTGTCGCTAGTCTATCCTGTAGTTGATCAGCGAAAAACTATTTGAGAACTGTCAACACAAATGCTATAATTTGTCGCTGCAATATTAGACTTTTACCAATATTATCGCTAGTCTATCCTGTAGTTCATCAGCGAAAAACTATTTAAGAACTGTGAACACAAATGCTATAATTTGTCGCTAGAATATTAGACTTTTACCAATATTGTCGCTAGTCTATCCTGTAGTTGATCAGCGAAAAACTATTTGAGAACTGTCAACACAAATGCTATAATTTGTCGCTGCAATATTAGACTTTTACCAATATTATCGCTAGTCTATCCTGTAGTTCATCAGCGAAAAACTATTTAAGAACTGTGAACACAAATGCTATAATTTGTCGCTAGAATATTAGACTTTTACCAATATTGTCGCTAGTCTATCCTGTAGTTGATCAGCGAAAAACTATTTGAGAACTGTCAACACAAATGCTATAATTTGTCGCTGCAATATTAGACTTTTACCAATATTATCGCTAGTCTATCCTGTAGTTCATCAGCGAAAAACTATTTAAGAACTGTGAACACAAATGCTATAATTTGTCGCTAGAATATTAGACTTTTACCAATATTGTCGCTAGTCTATCCTGTAGTTGATCAGCGAAAAACTATTTGAGAACTGTCAACACAAATGCTATAATTTGTCGCTGCAATATTAGACTTTTACCAATATTATCGCTAGTCTATCCTGTAGTTCATCAGCGAAAAACTATTTAAGAACTGTGAACACAAATGCTATAATTTGTCGCTAGAATATTAGACTTTTACCAATATTGTCGCTAGTCTATCCTGTAGTTGATCAGCGAAAAACTATTTGAGAACTGTCAACACAAATGCTATAATTTGTCGCTGCAATATTAGACTTTTACCAATATTATCGCTAGTCTATCCTGTAGTTCATCAGCGAAAAACTATTTAAGAACTGTGAACACAAATGCTATAATTTGTCGCTAGAATATTAGACTTTTACCAATATTGTCGCTAGTCTATCCTGTAGTTGATCAGCGAAAAACTATTTGAGAACTGTCAACACAAATGCTATAATTTGTCGCTGCAATATTAGACTTTTACCAATATTGTCGCTAGTCTATCCTGTAGTTCATCAGCGAAAAACTATTTAAGAACTGTGAACACAAATGCTATAATTTGTCGCTAGAATATTAGACTTTTACCAATATTGTCGCTAGTCTATCCTGTAGTTGATCAGCGAAAAACTATTTGAGAACTGTCAACACAAATGCTGTAATTTGTCGCTGCAATATTAGACTTTTACCAATATTATCGCTAGTCTATCCTGTAGTTCATCAGCGAAAAACTATTTGAGAACTGTCAACACAAATGCTATAATTTGTCGCTGCAATATTAGACTTTTACCAATATTGTCGCCAATAGAAATATTGTAGAAAAATATTGACAAATACTTAGTGGTCCTTACAGTATTATTCTACAATATTTCTATTTCAGGATACGCTATTTGTAGTGCCAACTTGACAGTTCTCAAATAGTTTTTTGCTGATCAACTAGAGGATGAACTAGTCGCAAAATGCGTAAAATTACCATCATTCAGCGAAAAATTATAGCCCTTGTAGTATTTCTCAACACAATTTCTAATTCGCGATACGCAATGTGTAGTGGTAGGGTAGCAGGCTAGCATTTCCCGTATTTTCCAGTAATAACTGGCTGGAGCGACAAATTTTTGGGTTCGGCAACAAATTATAGTGCATTTTAGAAATTCTTGGTATGCGTGTCTCGAACTCCTTCCTGTTATACGTTATCGTAATACTGTCGTATCATCCGCAAAATTAAGCATGCTAATCTTCTAACCCCTGTATACCTAAGTGTACTTGTTCTCGACCTTTTGAGTGACCTATACATGTATTATTTTTATGTGGTTTCGTTTATAAAGCAAGCACTGCATTAAAAAGTTACCTGCTTACATGATATAGATTGTACAGTTACTTTTGACTACCTGTTCTTCGAACACATGCATTCATAGCAATTCGTTCCTTTTAGAGAATCTCGACCAGGTGTAATTTAACGGTTTTAATAAACATAAATATAATTTCACAGCTGTCTTTGTAACAATATAAATAGTTATAAAGGACTCAAAAACAACTACTGTGATAGGCCCTCAATTGTTTTATTTTACTTACAATTAAAAAGTCGTAAACGCATAATTTATTAAAAGAAAAAACGTAACATTGTTATGCAGGTAACACACATATAGGAACTTAAAAAGGGAACAGCAAGAGTCCAACAGGTTCAACCTGCGTTTTTAGCAAATTCGGAGTATATGTATATATATCATACAGGACTTCCTCGAAACTTTCAGATTTAATTAGAGCGTGGGGTTGCAAGGTATAACATTTCACAAACAATTAATATTCATTGAATAAATGTCAAGTACAGGGTAAATCCCAATACACAGAGTAGTTAACCCACTTCGGGCAAATTGTCTTTTTACCAAGCCGACTTTTATGATTCTCGCGGGGTACATTGTGGTACGTGATAATTTTAGTTCGGCATGCTATACTTAATAAAAAGGCCAGCGGGCCAGTTTTACAAATATAAAATTAGGGGAGATACTTGATGGTAGAAATGTACTACGTGGAGACTCCAATAAACGACTAACTACAAGTTAATTACTTAATATAATTTTAAATTTAAATTTATGAAAGGTATTCTTTGATGCGTGAAGACTAACTTTTAATCAGCGAAAGTTGACTACAAAAATTCGCTCATTATTAAATTTGGTATATGAACAGACAACCAGATCGATTTATCGATTAATAGATTTATAAAAATTTGCACAATATGTATGTATTGGTAATTTGGTAGTTACGGGGAAGGAACTTTAGATGTAAGTTTAATAAAACAATATTAAATACTATATTCGCAAACTAGCTCGTGTACACACGAAAAATTAACAAGATTTCCGTTTAGCTGGGTCAACGACTTGAAAATGCGTGTTATTTTCAGAATTTATTGCAAACAGTGAAACCACGTATTGCAAAGGCAGAATAAACAATCCCCTCACTACAACATTGTTTTATATGTATAATGGGTGTTCCGTTGAAACTTATGTACCAACTATGACAAATTTTATTGTACGACTAAAGAAAAAAATTGGCGTAATTGTTGCGCTGGTGCAATTGGTCTATACCCAGATATACAATATTTATTTTTGTTATAATTTATAATGTATTAAAAATTAACCTGTAAATCCAAGTATGAGTACAGAGATTTAGTGAAATTAGAGAAAAGAAAAGAGTTGGAAATACTAAAATTAAAGGATAATCCACGTCAATAAAACAAAAATAAAAAAACAATAATTTCACTTATAAAAAACAAAAGTATGTAAATTGTTTCATTTTTATGGCATTGTTTCTGGTAAATTAATTAAATTATTATTAGTATCACACACAATACGAAAAAGCATTTGTGTCTTAACATTGCTAGTAAGTATTTTATTATAAAGTTTATAGGTAGCCCACAACAAAACCTGTTTCTGACTCATCAACATCTGTACAGAGCAATAAATAATTATTATACCTACATCAATGAAATATATACGTATTTGTATTAATCAATTCAACATATATAATGGATCTCCAATTACCATTTCATTTCACTTCCTACACACCTGTACATATTTATTTGAAACATATGTAGATGCTAAACATCAATTAAATTTAAACACCCCAGTTTATTCATTATCATTGCAATTTTATCTTTTCCTTCAAAGTAACATAAGCGAAACCGTTATAATAGAAAATTATCAATTACCTCATTAGATAATTATTCAGAAGTTTGTAAACTCAACGTAAACAAAACCTGTCTGAGCGATATTTTAAAAGAAAAAAATATTTGATTGTGCTTAGTAACAAAAAATAACAGAAACTGCAAACAATACATAAAAATGCCTGAAATTTTCGCCTTACCTTAAATTATCTACACTTTCTATTTAATGTCAACAGAAGGAAGTTTTTCGTAACAGTCTGGTAATAAAACAATAATCACGGTAGCAATTTCAAATTGTCACTGACTGGATATTAGGAGATAATTTGTTATAAACAATACACTACAAACTGTTCATAATGTAATACGTAGAACAAAGACAGTTTTACAAATATTTTAACGGCCACTAAATGCCAAGATTGCTTTACGTTCTCCAGTAACAACCACTCAAATCGGATCGAATTGGAGCGAACACCTACACTTCCCTCTACGGTTGGTTATCGACTGCTGCAACCAACTTCACTTCTACCGAAAGACCCTAACGAATGCACTGTTAATCCACAGAAGTACCAACTGCACTAATTTTACTAATTTAATACTAATTTAAAAATTTACAATAAAATCAAGTAAAATTAACAAAAATGCCAATAACTTTTACAAATTATTTAAATAAATATAAACTACTGCTCTAGCTATGCATGTATTCAAGAAATAATATTTTCTTAACGGTATTAACTTAAAATACAGATAGGTAGATAAATTTACTATTAATTGTAATCTTCAAAATATAACTATTAATTCAAACTTTTGCTTTAGNTAACGGTATTAACTTAAAATATAGATAGGTAGATAAAGTTACTATTAATAGTAATCTTCAAAATATAACTATTAATTCAAACTTTTGCTTTAGTTGATTTGTAGAAAAATCAAAAATCTAGTGCAATTTGCTTAAATCCTCAATAGCATTAACGGTATAATATATAATTTAAAAGCAGGTCAATAACATTTATTTGGATTATTTTCTGTAATATATATTAAATAGTATTAAATATTTCACACCAAACTGGCTTATTTTAGGTATAAAATTAAAAAAGTTATTATTTGATCATTCTATGGTTTAAAACATTTCTTGTTCTTATTAATAATTTTAAATTTTATCTTGTCAATGATTTTATCTGTGGTAAATACCGGTGAAAGATGGCGGATGATAGTTTACCTGCAGGTTGGGAGAAACGTTTAAGTCGATCTACAGGTAATTGCTGTGAAATTAAATAAACAAACAAAAATTTGTTTTAATTTAAATGGATATATCTCTGCCATTATTCTCTAAATGCCCAACCCAAATATTTGGTGCATGTCCTAACCTAACAATTTTGTTTATTTATAGGTCAACATTATTACCTCAACATTTACACAAAAGAGTCCCAATGGGACGTTCCAGACAAACCAGCTGAACCAGCAAATTCTGCTGGTCCTGAACAGGTTCAATGTTCCCATCTTCTTGTAAAACATAAGGATTCCAGAAGACCGTCTTCCTGGAGAGAAGAACACATTACAAGGACTAAAGAAGAGGCCCTGGAGCTCGTAAAATGTAAATTTTACAGTAATTTGTTTAATTTAAATATCTATAGAACGTCTTGGTTTTGTTGTAGCATATAGAGAGCAAATAGTTCATGGAAAAGCATCTTTTGCTGATTTAGCACAGAAATGTTCTGATTGTTCTTCTGCGAAAAGGGGCGGAGATCTGGGACCGTTCGGGAAAGGAGCCATGCAGAAACCTTTTGAAGAAGCTGCATTCTCTCTTAAAGTAGGGGAACTTAGTGACCCAGTTTTTACTGATTCAGGGGTTCACATAATTCTACGCACTGTATAAATGAATTATTTGGCATTTCTCACACTCTAGTTACAAAGAAAAACCTGTATTTATTATTGTAATCATTACTTTTAAATGTTTCAATTTATCTTGTTGATTTCAAATCAAAAAAAATATTCCCTTTCAATATTGTTATAATGGCTTACACCTGTATGCTTTTTCAATTGATTAGCTTGCTCTTTATTGTAAAAAGTAAAAGTTTATTTATTTTATCTCTAATATGTAGCAGCTGTTTCCTGTTATCTGTTTCAAATGCATATTTTCATTTATGTGACTGGCATTAATGAATTAAAGAGTATGTACTATACAATTGAAGTGTGCTGGACTATATGAGTCCTGTAGGGTAAGTTTTATGGGATTTAATTAATGTTATTTTAAAGGACTGATTTTTAAATTAAATCAGATATATGTGTTAATTGCGGTGTTTTTGTTACGTAATACTAATAAAATACATAGATGAACATCTTGTAAAATGTTTCAGCAATATTTGTCTTTTATATTTTTTTAATTAGTGTATTTAACAGTACTACATAGAATATATACCTTGTACTCGGTTTAGTATTTAATAAAAGTTAAGGTGAATCATTGCAGTTTCATATTTCTCTAAATTAGTTATACTTAAACTAAAAAGACCAAAAAAAAAATTTAAAAGAACAATTATTAATTGCTTGATTGATGCTTTTAAACTAAATTTCAGAACTTAAGTAATTCATTGCTGTGGATTGTTTACCTTTTTCTGCATNAAGTATTACATTAGAACATTTTTCATAGATTTGTTGAGGGGTGGCTGGCTGTGGGAGGGTCCAAAAAGACTAAAAATGTGCTTAGGTAATACTTGAGTAACCCCAACACGAACCTCGGAAGATTTTAAAACGAAATTAGGAACTACCTTACATATTTATGTATGCAACCCTTCAGTAAAAAGGAAGAGTCTGATTTTATGTGGTTTTGCATTATTTGTTTACACAAACCACATATTAACTTTACTTTCTTATGATTAGGTCCTAACGTTTTCAATTTTTTTTAATTCGTAGGGTATTTCTACTACAAAAAGTCGTTCGTTTTCTATACACAGGAATGCATCGCAAAAAGCGTTTTACACCATCCAAATAATCTTTAATAACAATAATACATATATTTGCGCAAGTAATATCGCATTTGCAAATGAAAGCAAACACCTCAATAAGTCATAAATAATAAAATTTAGAGATTCGAGGGGATGTAATTAATGTTTTAGTCGCCTCTGATGTTGTCGATTACTTTACAAAATATCTAGAAAAAGCAAATCTTAATTATCGAGTAGAAAAGAAATTTACCGATGAAGGGTAGGTACAATTCATAAATAAAGGTGTCCCAGAAAACAGTGTCTAGTCCAATCAGAAAGACATACAGAGGATCTCAAGAGGAATATCGCTACTGCTTACCCAAATTATGTTTATGTTAATATTATTCTGTCATTTCGCTATCTAGTCATTTTATGCCAAAATATAGGCTTAAAAAAAGAATTCATAAACCCAATACCAACGTTTCATTTTTTTTGGTGTACAAGCTTTTCACGGTAGGATTTTGAGTCAAAAGGAGAAATATTTTGGGTTTGTTTAAGAAATGAAACACTTTCTGTTACTTTTATATTGGCTTTAATTCTACACATAATGTTTAATTGTTATTTTTGATATGTAATTTCAGAGTTATGATGTTTCTTTTACATTTTCTCTCAACTTCCTATTTGGCGATTTCTTTTTAACAAAACTATCAAAAATTGCTGAAAATACATGTAGTCTTTCCAACTTGGCACTTTTTCTGGAAACACCTCATATATAATATTTAGAAAAACCTATCAATTATTCTCAAAAATATTCTAGGAAGGCTCTTTTTCAATTATCACCACGAACAAACTTACAACGAATTGTGAATACATTTGGAAGAAAACTGGACTTTTGGACACCATTACGTATGCAGAACAAACCAATTATATTTTTAGTAAACGATAGGGATAAAGTATCATTTAGTGAATTTCTAAAGGACCATAAAATCGAATTTGAAATAGACAGGTGTATTAATAGCCAACAAAAATCAAAATCACAATTTAATAGCAAAATTTTTCTATTTTATAATCAAGTCGCACCACTTCTTTTCGTCTCAAACCGCCGATAGATATGCTACAACTTCTTAAAGAGCCAAAAATGTTACAATTTTCTTTATTAATAAGAGAAGATGATGGACCAGCAAAAGTAGAAATTACTGACTCCTCGATTGCAAGTAAAATGTCAAATGAACTTAAATTACTTTCTATACCCCATTTAATGCAGGTATTAGAGCATCCGGGGTAGGTAATTAGTCAATTGTAAGGGGTGTTTCCGAATATCATCTATTGTCTTTTGTTATAGGGTTACAAAATTTGAAATAGAACCCACGCCATATTTGCGAGATCTATCAAATTTATTCGGGAGTTCCATCGATTTTTGGACTTTTCTGAATAAAGATGAAAGATTTACAAAATTTTTTGTCGATTCAAAAACTCAAGGGCGGTTTATAAGGTATTTAAGAAGCAACAACATCGAATACACCACCGTAGTAAGTGGTGACGAGGGGTAAGAAATGTCCTCAATGTCCCAAACTGTTTACGACATACATATTATATTTTCTATCTCAAACAGAATTTTAGAATTTAGATTCGAACCTGGACTAAATTATAGCAGGATATTAGCAACATTTGGAGGGAATTTGGATTACTGGACTCCTTTGGTAAAAGATGGAGAACCAATTACAATATTGGTCAAAGCAGAAGCTGTGGCAAATATGACAGAATTTTTAAAGAAGAAAAAAGTGTTTTTCAATAGGATAAATACATACGAAGCCCCAAAGTAAGACCTCAAAAGAGTTTATAATTAAATATTAAAATTAAAACATTCATTTTTTTATGCTTAAAAGACAAACAACATTGTTTTTCTTGCACTTGAAGTATGTACCTCAGCCTATGTTAGGTGAAATTTTTAAATTTATGGCAAATCATACCTCAATAAAGTATATCGAAAAAGAACCAGTTGAATTTATATTTCGCCATGAACTTGGAGTAGACGTAGTGAAACCCTTAAAATTAAAAAGAGTCTGGTTTTCTATCGAAGAATGGTAAAAGAAATAATTATTGACAACATTAATTGAAAACTCCTCATTTAATGTTTTACTAGGCCCACAGAATTTAAAGTGATGCCAAAAATCGATAGCGCTATGCGAATAAGGGACATGGGGAGAATTTTTGGCAACAAAGTTACCATTTGGGGCCCAAAATTTACTCAAGCTGATTGTTTGAAAGTTATGGTATCAGCTGATGTAGGAAAGGAATTTATTCAGTACTTAAAAAACCATAAGATTTACTACAAAGAAATTATTCCAGACGTTGAAGAGTTCGTATTTTTTTTCTTAATATAAATAAATTTGTCTTTCCTTGCTTTATGAAATATATTTAGACTTTTAGAATCGCGTTCAAAACCATCAGACATGTACACATTTAACAACAAAGGTGGATCACTAGACTTTAATCGATACGAAAAATACGACACCGTAAGTTAATTGATTTTCATCTTGAGAGATCGCCATATTTTTATACTGATTTGCTCTCTCAGCTTGTTGAATATTTGTACGATTTGGCGGTAAAATATCCTAATATTATAAGCATTGATAATTTGGGTCAGTCAACGGAAGGCAAAGAAATTGTTGTGGCAAAATTATCAATTTCAAAAGAAGATATAAACAAACCCATTATTTTAATAGATGCTGGGATTCATGCCAGAGAATGGATAGCACCTGCAGCCGCTTTATTTATTATCAAACAACTTACAGAAGTCTCAATAAATATGCGTCTCATGAAATACATTGACTGGTACATCATACCCGTTCTGAATCCTGATGGATATGAATATTCTCGTGAGAACGTAAGGAAACAAAACTCGAAATGAAATAAAAGACACAGAAATGGAGATAAACTTTCAATTTTATAAAAACTGTTTATTTCCATTTTGTGTTTTGAGCTCATTATCCGCTCTTTAAAACTTGTTATGTCCAGAAGTATGCTATTTTTTAGTCTTGCGGTTTTCAGGATAGATTGTGGAGGAAAAATCGAAAACGCTATTTAAACTCCACATGCGTTGGAGTGGATTTGAACAGAAACTTTGACTTCCAATGGTCCAACGCGTTAAACGATCCATGTTCTGAATCATATCCTGGCCCAAAACCGTTTTCAGAAGCAGAAACCATCAATTTTCGAGAATACGTTCGTTCGCTAGGTACCAGAATAAAACTTTATGTAAGCCTCCACAGTTACGGTAATATGATCCTCTATCCATGGGGTTACACCGAGAGCTCTCCCCAAAACGTGGACAGTCTTCAACGATTGGGTGAAGAAGTGTCGAAGAAAATTCGGGATCTGAATCAAGGTTCCAGTTATAAGGTGGGCAGGATCAGCGAGATGCTTTACAAAGCCAGTGGTTGTAGTGTGGATTGGATGAAGGAGACGATGGGAGTTAATTACACCTATGCGATTGAAATTTTTGACGGAGAATCTAACGGTGAGTTCGAGCCAGGTCCACAACATATTTTGAAATGCGTGCAAGAAGTTTTTGTTGGTTTGAAAGTGTTAAATTATCATATTGAAAGACATTATGTGAACGATGCTACTGACCAAGTAACAGCCGAAAGTCATATTGAATACGCCAATAAAACAGAGACGACACCAACAATTGTTACTGTAACGGAAAAAGAATCCACAGATTCTGGCTTTTGGAGCAGTTGGTTCGACTAATTATTATTAGATTTATCAGACATTACTTCAAATTCATGTACATACATATCTAATACAAATAAATTACTAAGTACATACATATCTCGTAAAAATAATAAATTTACTACAAAAATATTTTCCGTTGTTTGTTTCGACTACGAAATCTGGGGACTCCCCAAGAGATTATTTAAATTAAAAAAGGTCTACCACGGTTTTTTGTGGGCAATATTTTAATTTTTATTTATCGTTTAAGTGTTGTACTGGCACCTTCTAAATACCAATCGCAAAAGTGTTGTATACTTCATCGAAACAAAAGTAAACTTTTGGTGTCAAACTTTTCTATGTATTTAGGTAATTATTGATAAAATCATTCGGTAAATGTCTAGATGACTGCCTTTGGGGGTGGGTGGTGGTTGAAACTTAATTATTTTGACAATTTCCATACACTATAATTCAAATAAAATTGTGTAAAAGTGGAGGTGGGGGATCGAAAGAGGATGGTCACTTGAACAAAACCCCATAACCTAACCTAACCTACCCTATTGATAAAGATATTTAAATAATGTTTTATATAACTTTCTCAATTTTTATCTATTTTTCCATTAGTTTTACCTTTGAATATTGTTTAAGAATGACCATATAAATATTTACATGCCTAGAATTGTATAAAAATTGGCATATTTATTAACTTTGAACCCCTATAACTATTTATGGGGGTGAGACCGTCACGAACTTTTTATGGTACAGTGGTGGGGGAGACCTCCTCTTTCGATCCCCCCCTAGCCATCATCATCATCATCTAGACCTTTACCAATCATTCTAATTTTTCAGAAAGTTTTTATTAAATCTTCTAATTGCTTTCCCGATTTTCATCACCACGTCTTCGCTTTGGATCACACCGGAAATTATTACTCAAATCGAACGATCAATTAGGGTTTAATGGTAATAACATGGGGGACAAGGTTTTTTCGCGCCCCTTCCCCACTTGAAAAAATTAAATGTAATTAACGGAAAATGAGATTTCAAACAATCTTGAATATACAAAAAATATTTATAAATGAAGCAATAACTTTATTTTTCTAGGAAAAACTATATGTATAGGTACTAGTACTATAAAATATATATTTTTCATGGGCAGTACTTTTTTTCAATATACGAATGTAGAGCTTTTATACCTACAAATGTATCTTGTACAGCAGGCAATAATTTCGATTGCGGAAAATTAAAACCCCGTCCTTTATATTCTTGTAGTTCTATAGTATAAGCCAACTTTACTCCATTTTCTGCCATCATCCAATCTTCTGACGCCCCTGTTGCTTCATACAAAACGTCAGCAGTAGCTCCAACTGTCCATCTTTCCTCCGAACGTTTACTAATAGATGAAGCAAAAATGCTTCCAACAGCTTTTAATTCGTTCTCGTTTTTTGGAATTGCACTGCGATGTCCAAAAGGGTAAATTATGTAATTCCCGTAACTATGAAGAGAAAGGTACAATTTGATTCTACGAGACAATGGTTTAGAAAAGTTTCGAAAGGCTTGCAGTTCAACCTCCGAAAACGGAAACGGTCCTTTATAAGTTTCAGAACATTCATCAGAACTGGCCCCAACTAGGCCCCACAGGAAGCTGAAATTTCTATTGCCATCTACCCCAGCGCATTTAATCTCTCTGGTTTTACTGCGTGTTTTTCTCCAAAGACGATCCTATAAAAAAGGTATTCTTGAAAAGGCCCCAATAAGAAAAAAAACATTTACAGAAGTATGGGAGTATTCATATCCATCTGGGTTTATATTTGGTAGGATATACCAATTAATTTTATCAGAGAGATATTTGTTTTCAGGATATTCGACGAGTTGATTGATTATATACAGGGCGGTCGCCGAAGAGATCCATTCCCTTGCATGAATTCCTGCATCTATAAAGATAATTGGTTTATCATATTCATTGTATTTGCCTATTTTAATCGCAAGTATTTCACGACCCTCGTACGAATGTCCAATTAATGATACAGAAACAAAATCGGGATATTTTTGTTCAAGATTCTGTAAGTACTGATTGATCTAGCAAAAAGAATAAAATTTAAATTTAAAAATTTAATTTTCACAAAAAGAACTTGCTTCAGAGTGTCTCAAAAATCTGTCGAAACGTATTGTGTGTGTACTCCTTGATTGTCTTTTAATTCTTATTTCTTCATTATGTCTTTCTAAATCTTCTTCATGTAGAAATCTAAAACACCATTTACGTAAATAAAATATCGTTTCATGGAAGTTTTGTCCACTTTTTTAAAAACTTACTGAGCAACATTCGGAATCACTACACGATAACTGATATTTTCTTCTTCGAATAATTTAGTTATGTGATGTTGCAAAAAAGGATTTACCATCATTTTTACGGGAGAAGAACTGTTTCTACGCGGCATTGTCCAAAAATCTACATCTTCACTATAACTATCTAACTTTTGTAATTGTTCTCGTGATGATATATCAACAGCGTAGACTTTAAAGCTATTTCAAAGTTAAATAAAATCTTACTGTAAAAAGTGGCAAGAAGAAAATATTTACCCGTCATAATCCGAAATATCAGCAGAAATTAAGGGTAATAAAATAAGAAATACGTAAAAAATATACATTGTTCTACTGCACTTAGAAAAAGTCAAAAAGTCCTAATTTTTATTCCATTTAAACGTTCACGTGACTTATATATTAAGAAATACAATATGTTGTAAAAGTTTTTAATGACCACTTATTGCAAAAAAAAAAAATTTAAAAGGTAACATTGTACACCAGTAAATCCATTTTTTTTATATTCAAATGTTCATTGTATCATGTTTACAATAATTAACTTTTTTAGAAACATTTTAAGTAGTTAATTTATATTTTAATGATTATTGAAAGGGTAACATTGTTAACATAGAAATAAATTGCGTCCTCAATACATTCACATATTTCAATTTTTTTTAGAATGTATTATACTATATTACACAAACTATGTATTATTTCTAAAGAAGTTTATAGTAGTTTATTCACTTTTACTTTAACTGTAAAAGCGTTTTACACCATCCAAATAATCTTTAATAACAATAATACATATATTTGCGCAAGTAATATCGCATTTGCAAATGAAAGCAAACACCTCAATAAGTCATAAATAATAAAATTATTTGAAATTTCCGTAGATATACTTAATATCACAT